AAAAGATAGATGATCTTCTTAAAATTTTTGTTTTGTTTTGTTTTTGTTGGCAATGGAAACAAATTTAATTCCCAATACCAATAAAATCTATCTCTTTAATTGACAATTTTCATGTAAAACAAAATCAAACAAACACCAAAAGACACTTTTATTTCAACATTTTTCAAGTGGAAAATTGTACCAATCAAGTACAATAATTTACAATTCTCAGGAAAATAATTCTAGACAATTCAATTTCCTGAAATTCGTTTTCTAGACAATTCTATTCCATTTTTACAATCAAACGAACCATAAGTAATAAAATCTAAGGGCCAATGGCAGGAAAAGTGTGAGTAGGGGGGTTAGTTTGGCTTGCCCAAGCCAGCTTGTCGAGCCGCAAGGGCCATTTTCGGCCCATAACGAGTCGAGTCTAAAAAAATAAATTTAAAAAATAAAAAATAAAAAATGATAAAGTAAAATTTATTTAGCTGTCAGCTGCACGGTAACTGCCTTAACAGGATTTAAGAAGCAGCTATAAATTTTAGGCAGCCATATAAATATAATAATAAAATAAAAAAGAGATAGCCGACTCTACTCATCAACGTCCCTAAGTGTGAGCCCAATTGAAACCCAAGTCAAAATGCACGGAGCTCCCTCAGACCTTCTATCAATTGGGCTGCCAATTCTGGTCTTTGTAGGTTCAGGTCATGTTCCATGCCCATTTAAATGTTGTATTTTGGGAAAAATTCACATTTAATCCCAAAATACAACATTTAAGGTAGCTATAATTCACAATTTCTCTATATACATACACACACACAAACATATGGAGAGCGTTCCTTTTATACATGAATTTGACAGGTATTTTTGACAAATAATCGCGACTTTTAATTTAAACAAATCTAACGGTCAGTATATATTTCACTAAGATCATGAAAGGGGATTAATTTCAAGTTCCATACCCATTTAAATTTTAGGTCTTAATTAAGATTTATTAATTTTTGGATGGTTTATGGTGTATTGGAGTGTCAAAAAGTTGCATATCAAAAGTTTTCAAAATCAAACAAGGAAACGGAATTTTTTCCCGGAATCAAAGTGAATCTACACACAATACACGAAATTTGGCCTCAGATAATACTTTTTGGAAACAATTTTGCAAATTGGTCATTGAACTTTCTTACGTGTGTATCTTGATCATTTTCAACAATTTCTCATCTCATTAACTTTTCTTCAACTTCAATAGATCTTGACATTCTTGAATTACTGTCTTGCAATCTGACACAACTTTTAAATCATTACATTTTAGTCCCCCATAATTTTGATTTTGCCATTTTTCTCTATTTTTCGCTTGTTTTCTCCAATTTTTCATCAAATCATGAGTTTTACCTATTAGACGTAATATAACATAAATTAAGCTATATTTCAAAAAAAAAAAAAAAAAAAACTTCAAAAATGTAATTATTTTAAATCCCAAATAAATGTATAAAGTACACTTATTAGTTGTAATAAGCTCGGTTAAACAAGCACTTCTGTACATAGGTAATTAGGTTTGATTAATTTTGATAATCTCAATTGATGATTTATTTTTTCATTTAATGCCTGTGTGGATGATGAGATGATGAAAACTGAAGCTTAATTTCTCTCTTCTTGTCTCACAAGTGTTGTCGGATTAATCTTTTGTTTCATTTTTTATTAGATAATGTCCTAGTTTTCCCCTTCGCCATCTCAAAATTATTTCAAAAAATTATTATATAATAATGAACATAGGATTTAGATCAATATATGTCATTGCTTCGTGTTCTTTTGGACCAAACGTTCAGGTATCAATCACTCAGTGAAGACCGTACTCCAATTTTTTCTATATCTTTTAACTCATAATGTCGTAGTATTCCAAATTCACAGCATCCAATGATCTGATTTTCACCTATGCTTAAAAGTAAAATTTACTTTTAAGTTATTTATTTCGACAGATATGGTTTTCAATTAAACAAGTTACTAATTCAATGAAAACGAAATTAATAATGGTAAATATACTTACAGACTCTAGTGCAGGCTAGAAATAAATTTTTTGTTGCTGAGCGTTCGATAAATTTTTGAGATTTCACTATTGAAGCAAATGATAATTATGTTTAAATACCTTAATAGTGTACTCGTATGACTTTTTCCCCACGAATATTTGTTAAATCTATCAAGATCATCTATCAAATAAAACAACCATGGATTAACAAATGTATTATCTTCTGCTGCCAAAAGTACGTATACCAATATGACGAGGAGGCCCAACTTATATTTATTATTCTTATGCTTGCAACGTTTGAAAACATCTAAAAATAAACCTCTCTTTATTTTTCCGTTACTAAGCTTAAAACATTCTTTCACCATCTACAATTTTGCCCAAGCGTCGGATCCTCATTCTCCAAATCCCCAGCTTTAAGCCCAGTCACCAGTGTGAATTATTGCAATCAAAATCTTGCAAGCTTGTCTCCAACCTTAATCCATACTTCAATTTTTTTTTTGAGGTATTTATTGACCTCTGAATCAGTTGGTGGACTAATTGGGATGCAAGCTTTATGTTTCTCAAGCTTAACAAATGTTCAAAGCGGGAATTTGTAAATAGGTCCTGATGCTTGTCATCTAAGCTGTAGAAAACTTCATCAATTAGTTTCATTCTACACCTATTACTTATCTTCACGTTCATTGTGTCTTCAGCTTCCATTTTTCCAATTGTAAAATGCAAAACAATAATTGAGTTAGAAATCTTAATTCTCAAAGCAATAGAAGGGAGGGATTTATTATTATTTTTTATGTTTTTAAAACAGGAACTAAATCAAATTGTGATTAACATCCAGAAGAAAGCTAAGAAGAAGGAAAATATTCAGGTAGCATGCATCTGAACTCTCTGTAAATTCAATACTTGGATAGCATATAAAATAAATGGACAGAATTGCAGCCTGCAATTCTACCAGGTCTTTGGTAAAGCAGAAGCCTAACTTGTGTAAGACATGTAATTTATGTATGCTCTGTTTGTTCAAAAAGCTAGTAATTGGAGTTAATTTGTCAGCTTCTTGAATCAGAAGAATAAGTATGTGTAATTCAATTTGTTTACTAGGATACGATTTTCATTTCTATTTGATTTAATTTGAAATCCTAGTCTTTCATAAGGTTTGTCTTTGTCTTATTTCCAGATACGTTAAGAGGTCGAGAACAAGCAAATTTTCACAAGTAAAATGAATTGTCAATTTCTTGTTGCAGCAAAAGTATCACCATACACAGGGGCAGATCCACATCGGGTCATGTGGGGTCAAATGACTCTACAAAATTTTGGTTTTTTTTTTCTTTTCTTTTTGATTTTATGTGCGAGCGCAGAAAATGGTTGTTTTACCCCATTTTCGACCCACTTCAATACATATTAAATGAAATTGAAATATTGCATTCTTAATATCATTTCAAATCACTCATGGCCTAGTTTTTCGCTTCTTAATGGTGTGTGAAATGATCAACCATAGCAAAAGTTATGATGTATCAAAGTAAGCCGTTCCAAATTAGTATTTCGAAAATTTCGATAATATACTAACTTTTAAAATTTGCCGATGATCTTATACTATCCAAATTTACAAATCGCTTGTATTATCTAGAAGTTCGTTACGAAAACTACATCGTAATCATATCAAATAGTCCAAAAAGATAACGAAAATAGTTAAATATGCGTCAAACATATGTATTAAAAGAGACGTTTAACTCGAAAAAATCAATTATTTCATTAACATTTATTATTTTTCACGATAAATTTTTCAATATAATTTACATCTTTTTATTAGAAAATTTTACATTAAAAATGATGTCAAAAATTCTAAAATGGTTACGGATTAAATGTAATTTGAACTACTTTCAAATTATTTTTTTCGTTAAACTTAAATTTCATTGACTTCCTATATCCAATTTGATTTACTCATCGTTAGCCCAACATCCATAAATGACATGGTAAACAAAATTATACATGTAACAAAATTATTTAACAATATTGATAATGATAGAATTATAAGACACTTTCAAAATGTCAAAATACGTATTAACTTATTTTTATAAATATTATATTATTCTAAAAAAATTCACATTAATTTTTGGAGTTAAACACAACCCGAGAGGATGACCTCGCAAGTGACTGCGCCCTCACATGCTCGGTAGGGTACCCATGAATAAAGTAATCTCGACTCCATGTGTGTGTGCTATGTCAATTCCGCGGTCATTCATGTGGGCATTATAGCACGATTCTAATTTTTGACCCCACAACCCAAAATGACTGAGTCCGCCCTGACCATACAGACTCGAAATGTGAAGCTGGATGCACTCAACAACAAGAAGTCACTAAAACTTAATTTTCTTAAGGTCCTTATCATTTATAAGTGAAACTAATATCACACATTGTTAATAATTAAATTGTGTCGAAACGATACAATTCAAAATGTGTGTTTTTTTAAAAGTGATGTAGCAAAATCTAAACTAATACAAGCACAATCACATTTTAAAAGGAAAAAAATGAAAGGAGAAAGATCATCTTGTTAAAACTACCGATCAATCACAACACAATGATGAAGTTTAACAAGATTAATAAATGGAAACCTTGTGGCAAGGCTATCGGCCAAAAAGATTACAAACAACCCAAGAATCATGGACAGACTACGTAATTCTTTTCGCTCCAGAGGCTCTATTGCAAAGTAAGCTAAGAAATCCTAATAAAAAAATTTGGGTAATATTGTACGATTTGGGGTTGAAGATGATGAAAATGGGAAGGAGAAGAAGACCTTATATTCGTAATGGAATAGCGTTTTATAGTGGAAGAAGAAGTCGTTAGATTCGATATGGAAGAATAGGGTTTTACAGTGATTGAAGAAGATAAAATGAGGTGTAAATGAGGGAAATTGGTTGATATTTTGCTATTAACTAAAGGTCAATTTTGTCATTTTGCCAATAAAATCATTTTGAATGTTTTTATTTTTTATAAATATTGGTCAAAGGCTCTTACCAAATTCCCCTTCCTAAAATCCTGCCTTGCTTCTCAAGAAGAGCTCTCATGCAGGTGTAAAATAAATCTCAGCCAAATCAATTAAAAAAAATTAAGTCTGCTCTCTAATTTCTTAATTAAGGTTAGTCAGATTCAGATCCACTTTGGTTTTTCTTTATTTCTTTATTTATTTTTTTTTTCAAATTATTTCAGTGAAAAATTGTATTTTGATTCGGCAGAATTGTTAAACTGTTTAAATCTGTACCCGTTCCTAATTTTTGCGTGTTTTACATGCCTGCAGCAACTCTTTTGAGCTCTAATAATCGAATTGAGAATGTTCCTCACAAGGTACCCAAAAAAAAAAAAAAAAATTTAAAAATCGCATTTCCTACTCGAAACCTAGGTTTTTTTTGGAGGTTTTAATGTCCTGTTTAGTTTGATGTTTTTTGAATTTTTATGTGATTTTTATTTTTTATTTTTTATGTGATTTTTATTTTTTTAAGGACTGAGTACGATAGAGGAGTTAACACTTTCTCTCCGGAAGGCCGCTTGTTTCAAGTTGAATATGCCATTGAAGCCATCAAAGTAACCACATTCACGATAAATCTTTATTTTTACTCACCTTTAAGAGTCTAGATTAAACTATTGCGGTTTTTTTTTTATTATTATTAAAATTAGTATTATTTGTGATCCTTATAGTTGGGATCCACTGCTATCGCCATAAAAACTGAGGAAGGGGTGGTTCTTGCAGTCGAGAAGCGTATTACCTCTCCACTTTTGGTACATTTTCTACCATTTTCCTTCGGAATCATGGTCTGGAAATTTCTCTGTTTATTATTATCACTTCAACTTGTTCTGTTCAAACCAAAACAGAGTTAAATTGTTTTTAGGTAATTGTACTAGTACTGATATCACCTTATGTTATTTCTAAATTTAATTTCTCGGAGGTATACTTGAAAAGATGTCAATCATTGCGTAAATAATGAAATTTGTTGTCTTTAGAGCTTCAGCGTTCACGAGAGTAATCTCTGATAACCTAGAATTAATATAAAATTGTATTCGTAATTACCTGGATTAGATTCTCATTAAAGGGGTTTAGGGTGAAATACCAAGAAAGAAAAATGAAAAGAAAAGAAGAAAAAAAAGTCTCATTACATGCTAAATTGTAATAACTAACTTTGACCTGAGAATGTAATGCTGAAGGAGATTAGAGCTACTCTGGTTGCAAGAAGGAGCTTATATAGAGTAAGTGATTATCCTTGCTAATCCCATTGTGATTGTGCCTCACTCCCATGTTACCTAAAGCTTGCACTGCATTTGACATAGTTTGAATTTACTAGCTCTTTTTTTTTTTTATGGTAGATGCTTTTGTTGATGTCAAAAATTTGTGTTATGTTTCTGATTCATTTCCTTTTGTAATTCTGTTGTAGGAGCCTAGCAGTGTGGAGAAGATTATGGAAATCGATGAGCATATTGGCCGTGCTATGAGTGGTTTAATTGCTGATGCCCGTACTCTGGTTGAACATGCTCGAGTTGAAACTCAGGTACCTGTCACCTATCATCTTCATTTCAATCTGTTTTCCATGGTAGAATTGTGTAGGCAAATGTTTATTATTTTTTTATTTTGTTTTTCCAGAATCATAGGTTCTCTTATGGCGAACCCATGACAGTTGAGTCAACTACACAAGCTCTCTGTGACCTTGCCCTACGATTTGGTGAAGGAGACGAAGAATCAATGGTTAGAATCTGTCTGTCATCATGCTTATAAATTTCCCATTTCTTTTTTGGCTGTTTGGATGTTAGAATTCTTTGCCTTGCACCATTTGCGTCTAAGGATATAAATCTACTGCTCTAAAACTTGGTGTTCTTTTATTATCACTTCTTTTTACCTTCACTTTGAGAAAGTATATGTATCCTTTGATTATGACTATTGCCCTGTATACAATCCTGAGCATTCTAAGCTTACTGCTTCTTCAGACCACGTTGAGAGACGTGCCATCTTCGAGTGAAACTTTATTTAGATTGTGCTATTTGTATATCTTAAAACCTTGAACAAGAGTCTACCTCGTCATGCTGTTCATTGGTGTCCTAAAATCTTTGACAAGATAACGAGGATTCTGTATTAAGAATTTGCCATTTGGGCTTCATGAGTATGTAAATTTATAAGATAGACTGGTATAGTTGCCCTCAAGGATGAATTCGTCGATGAAGTAAACTTACTTATGGGATGTACTTCAGTTTGTAATGTACTTTGAGCTGCTGGATGTATTGCTTTATCAACCCCACAGGACATGGGATATGAAATAAGTTATCTTACTTTCCTTTCAAACAGCATTTTAAAATTGTACCTTCTTGCATTTTAATATTAGGTTTCATTCTTGTCATGCAGTCTAGACCGTTTGGTGCATCTCTTCTTATTGCTGGTCATGATGAGAATGGTCCCTGCTTGTAAGTATTACTTCTAATTAAATATTGATCTGTGAGACCGGAAAGTGGATCACTGGCGTAACGTATTGCAGTGGCCTAGAATATTTCTGCCTTCACTTAATTTGCTCATCAACTTGCTGCAGTCACACCTCCATAAATTTTTGAGTGAAACGTTATTTGTTAAACTTGCAGTTAAGAAAAAATATTGACGGCATGAACGTCATGGGCACACTAACTACCATGTGCAGAAAACTTTGATACTTCTCTATCCTTTATATTGAATTTTTAATATCAAACCACCTACATATACAATTTTCTAGTTAAGAAATCTGCTGATGTATCTACTGCTGTCAACATTCTGCTGGTTTTTACTTTTACATCCTGCAATTCCTGGACTTCTTTGGAGCTTGTTAGTTAATGACTTAATATGTTAGTAATTGTAATCTGGCAGCAGTGTTATGCAGTTCCTGGATTTCTTCTTCTTCTGTGTATTGTGCTTGAATTCTTAAGGATTATACTTTATGAATGTGAATGGTTGAGTTCCCTTGTGTAACGATATTTGTTTCTATTACTATTTCATATATAAATTATCTTCTCAATCCAAAATAAATTTATCTATGAAATTGTTAAACAAATTTAATGTTGACCATTAGTTCATTAAATTTTCAGGAAACCCATTCTCTCTCTGTCAAAAAGCTCTATTGATTCTGAAATGTGCTGTTTGTGTGGATTTTTTGGACAATTTCACTTCCACTAGGTGTGATATTTTAGATATATCTATTTCTGCTGGTATATTCTATTGAGATAGTTGATGCTAAATGAACTTTTGTAATAAACAGGTACCATACTGATCCTTCTGGTACATTCTGGCAATGCAACGCAAAAGCCATTGGTTCAGGTTCTGAAGGTGCCGACAGCTCTTTGCAAGAGCAGTATAACAAGGTACTGAGTTTTTTATTTAACTACATGTTTACGTCTGATCAGTGATAAGCAGTGCCGGCCCTAAGAATTTGAAGGCCCTAAGCGAAAATTATTTTGAGGCCCTATATATCTATAATTTTTTTTTACACATGTAACAATATTAAAATAAAAAAATATATCTATATTCAAATGAAAACTTCGTACAATCTAAAAGATAGAATTGCAAAATAAAACATCACTTGCAATCCGAGAGATTAAGCTGGCATCATATTTATATGATCATAATCAATCTTATATCTCTGATTCAACATATGATCATGACTATATATCACTTGATGTGTGTTACTTTTCTGTTTCTTCCAATAATAAAAACATATCAAACAGTAAATAGGAAATAGATAAGCAAAACTCCAAGTTGTATTTGCTTATATATAATGTTCCAGTGTAACTACAGAAAACATCACCAGCTAAATTATCACTAAAAACTAAAAAGAACACTTTTAAGTGAATTTTATTTTCTAGACAGCTTTCTTAAAACCCAGATACACAATTTTCTTCTCTGTTTTCCTTCTCCTTCACAAAATATATGAATAAAAACATTATTATTTATTCATTTTCAGTACAAATTCTATTCCCCTAAAACATAGTTCTTCGTCTCGTTTTTCTTATCGTTACAATGATAATAAGAATCAATTAAAACCTAATCCTACTCAAACATGTCAACACTAACAACATCGCAAACAATAAAAATCAATTTTTTTTCTCGATCCATGAGCATTACCTCATCTTCTATGTCTTTGATTTTCTGCATAACAGTCGACATTGTTTTCGGGATGAAAGCAAGAACCTCTAAACGCCAAAGACTGTGCGAACTGAAACTTGTGCCACAAAAGTAGGGTTCTAGAGAGGCCGAGAGGAGATTTCAGATTTGGGAATTTTGATTCTCTAAATTGAAGAAAATGACTTACCTTTTGGTCGAATCTATCCCTTCAATTTCCTTCTCGTCTCTTCAATTTCCTTCCTGCAGTGTTGAGTGTCCGTTCAATTTCCTGAAGGCTGAAGGGCTCGAACATGGACAGATGGACTGCTAGTTGCTGGTATTACTATGAGATTTGAGGCCCTGGGCCCAAGCCACATTTTTGGAGGCCCTAGGCGGTTGCCTAGGTGGCTTGGCCCCAGGGCCGGCCCTGGTGATAAGTTTCTAGATATTTTAGACATCAAAACTGAACTCAGAGTCAGAGTTTATTGAGGCGCGTGCTATGTATGGCTGTCCATGTCAAAATATCATAATGTAGGATGTGAGGTTCATTTATTTGTTTGTGTGCAGGATCTAACTCTTAAAGAAGTTGAGACTATTGCACTTTCCATTTTGAAACAAGTTATGGAAGAAAAGGTAAGCTGCTTCGTGATTGGCTCGCATTATAAGTTCATAAGATTTTTTTTTGCCCTTTTTGGACTTTTTGCTGGTTGGTGAGCAGGCCTGTGGATCGGGTTGGTATTGTGTATTCTTGGTTTTTGAATGTTTTTATTGACACTAATGCCCACTTTTTTTGGAATGTCAGGTTACCCCGAATAACGTTGATATTGCTAGTGTGGCCCCAAGATATCATCTGTACACCCCATCTGAGGTCGAAACTGTTATCAATCGCCTATGAGAAGGGCATCTAGCAGTTCCAGTGCCGATCTTTACGATGATTCAGTTCCCATTATTGCTGTGTTGGCTTCATGTGTAACGCAAATCTCAGATTTCGCTTCCAATTTACATTCCAGTAGGGAAATGCTTTGAAATGTGTTAAAACTCTAAATGATAAACTCGAAAGATTTCATTTTTGTGTTTCCTGGGTGAATGTGCTTGCCTATATCGACCCCTTTTATTGTATTAAGTACTAATATGTACTACCTCGAAGTGCCATTTATGTTTTCCACTATGATAAGCATAAATGTAACTTGATTTGCCCTTTCTTTGTCAGGAGCTTCCCCTTTGGACTAGAACATGAATGCTCACTGTAATTTTAAAGGTATTGTTGACAAAATCTTTCACTCTTTCTTACATAATGTGTGGACCCCGCGTGCATTTAAAAAACGACGACCTATGGTCCCCATCCCTATTGTGAGTATTGAGTAAAGGATTGTGTAAAAAAAAAAAAAAACATTGAACATGTAGCATTGTCCTTAAAAACATCTCATCGTGCATGTTTGGCTAAGCTCCAAATTGATTACAAACCAAAAACAAGTTTGAGATAATCAGGGTTGATAACCTTATTCAATCTAAGCAAATTCACGCTCATTAACAATCCAATCCAAGAATTACGTGTTTCAACGTCATAAACCTAAGGAGAACGGAAATCCAGTAGAGCTCAACCAGCTGCCACCAGCAATGAATCTGCCTGAACTATAACTCTGCGCCTCCGTCACACTAATGACCTTATGTCCTCCCCATTTCACCCTTCCGGTTATGGAGGCGCCCGCTCCGGTGTTCTGATGCTCGCCATAGAACAAAGTTTCAAGTGCGAAATTTCCATTCCATTCATGCCAACCAGCAGGATGAATTGCATTAGTAATGGAAGATTGCATTATAACAGTCCTCGAATACATCTTCCACGGCCGCCCGAGATAAGTGGGGAAATTTCCCTGAACAGTTCTTAAATCCGAAGTGGCTCCAATTCTGCATTTCTGAATTACAATACCCGTGTTCTGATTTGGATCTGTTCTTCCTTGAGCTGTGACCATGTTTCTCTGACCAGAATCTGGCCGTCGTGCGTGGATGTCACAGTCTTGGAACACTGCCGCAGCGTTGCCAAAGATGAAATCGACGGTGCCGGAGATTAAGCATTGGATGAAGAATTGGCGATTGTTGTGGACGTAGAGGGTGTCTTGATAGGCTAACATATCGCATCTGTAGAAAGCTGATAAATCGGCGCCGACACGGAGCGCCACTGCCTGGTGCTTCGACGGTCCAGCCGTATTCTGAAAAGTGATGTCCCGGGCCAAGAACCTCTCACCCACCACGGCTGCACACACGAGGGGATATTTTAGAAAATGTGCAATTTCAGATAAATTCTTTTCCTATTCATCAATAAGTAAAAATATAATTCTAATCCCATATTTCATATGACTCACCATTTTTAAATCGTACATTTTATTAACTTTGGTCAAAATTTATTAATTTTTTGGAAAATACCATTTGTACAGAAAAATGGTTTACCACCTTCTCGACAAATTCTCACATTCGCGTGGGATCGAGCGAAAAAAAAAAGATAAAAAATTGCTCCCCCTCCCCATGTGAGTATGTTCTGTCAAGAAGGGTGTCAAACCCTCCCGGTACAAACAGCAAGGTCAGGTCCCAAAATTAACATATTTGTAGTTTTATGTTTTTCTGAATCATTTTAATTTTATTTTTGTTTATATATGCTTTACCGAAGCCTTGAATCATTTTTATTAATTATTGCCCACTAAGGTTTGATTTTATAGTACCTTAAAAATGTCTAAAGAAACCCTAGCTATTTCAATAAGCAATAATGTTACCGTGTCTAATTCTAATTGTGCTTAAAAATAAAATCTACTTTTGAGCAGAGTCAAACAAGCTGGAATAAACTTACCAACAGTTGCAGAGTGGAAGGTGGTGCTACCATCTTTTACATTTCTGCTTCCGGTGATAATAGTGTTGCTTCTGCCATCTCCCAAGAACATTATGTTAGTTTTCTTCTTGGGCACCTCCACATTTTCCCTATAAATGCCAGCCTTAATCTTAATTACATATCTCCTGCTACTCTTCTCCGGTGCGGCAGCCACCGCAGCAGACACGGTCCTGTAATTCCCACTGCCGTCAGCCGCTACCACCACGTCGGGAGTCACGGGAGAAGACTGCAGCAGCCTCCTATCTCCGGCAGACAGCCACTTGGGCCACCCATTCGTGCCAGAATCCTCGTCTTCTATAAGCTTTCTTCCACTCAATTTCATCTCGTTTGCAATATCCGTATCAGTCATGTTCTTGATCATGGCCAAAACATTGCTACACATTTTCTCCACATGATCTTCTCCTTTATTCAACTCTTCCCGCACGTGCTTATCTGCATCGTCGTGCGAGAATCCATCAAGGCAGGTCTCTTGGTTAGTCATGGCAGAACTCAATAGGGTTTTCAGATCATCAGCATGTTGTTTAAGAGATTTCTTGTTGGGGTACTCTTCGAGATCCTTAACAGCTTCATGGAGCTCATCAAGGGTCTCATCGATCGTCTCCAGACAGTCGTGCAACGCAGTTTTCTCGCGTTCTGTCAAATTCTTGCCCTTAGCTATGAGCTTTCCTATCTTGAAGTAATTCTGCTTAACAGTAGTATGAGTAATATTCAAGGCTAATTCAATTACATCCTTCTGGCTTTTCACTTTTTTGTTTTCTGTAAGAGAATTGGCTATGGTGGAATAGCATAAATCTGGGTATAATGTGCTGCTGCATGAAGATTTGACAATGGTGTGAGCTGGGGATATCTTTATATCGGCAATTTGGGAGTCTTTTTTCCTTGAATTTACTCCGGCGACTACTGCAATAACTGCAGCAATTAACAAGATTGAAGCAACAAGAGAAAGAAGTACAAGTTTCTTCTTCTTTTTGGATATTTGATTGTCGTCGGAATGTAAGCCGGAATATGACATTCCGGCTAAGAAATCCTTAATGCGGGACATTGGGTTGACGAAGAGGTTGCAGATTAATAAGTATGGATATATGAGTTTATATAAGTGATTGGAAAATGTTGTCACCTTAATTGGATGAAATTGTTATTGCCACGTTTGTTAATTTAAAAAATTCCAACTAAGGTCCCTACAGTCTCTTTAACTTTTATTTATTAAAGTATATAATGAAAACCTCTTTTTTTTTTTTATTATTAAATTATAAATCCACTTTTATTTCCATTCCAGCAAATTTCTCCATGAATTTGCAGGTAGCCGCCCGTGTTGTTGCATCTTTTTCGTGATTTCATCCTTTCAGCGTAGTCTTTGTTTTCTCGTTTTACTGCATTCTCCTAAAATTTAGTGATTTTCGAACTAAAGATTCATCAGAAATTTGTTGTGCTGATCTCACAAAAAAGTTTGTGTCTAGTCATTTTAAAGGATTTTTCGACAAAGTCTTTTAGCATATTTTGATAAAATGCATGATTGCAAAATTGATAAAAATTGTAACTCTCATAAAATGAACGATTCAATTGAAGTTTAACCAATTTAGCCCCCGTTTGATCCCCATTTTAATCCAAAAATGCATTTTCTCATCACATCAATGTAAGACCTACACATTATTATATGTTTTGATTTGAATTCAAAAGGCATAAAATTCCAATTTCACCCATGGTCTCTTGGCTGAGTGATTTTGGGATGGAAAGTTAGTGGGCAAGGGCAAGGGCAAATGTTGGAAAAGAAGAAGTCTTGGTCTTTGAGTAAATCACGTGGGTTGGCAAGCAAATAATGAGCAATGGTCCAAAATTCATTATTGTGCAAAATTAATGAGGACCAAACAGCCTTTAAAAAGTAGAAACAAATACAAAGTATCAAATCGTCGTCGTATACTTAATTGTAAAAATAGTCGTGCATTGCATAAGAGTAAAATTTGTGATGAACTCACGCGCTTGGCTATGGTCATTTTTCCTAAATCCTCTCTAACTTTACGTCTGATTATAGACAACTTGCCATAATAAATCATCACACTTTGGTGCCTTTTGATTTTTCTTTAATTATTATGTTAGAATGGCCCAAAAGTGCAATTGGCTCTGACAGTCTCTGCTTAACTTTGAGTGGCATAAACAGGAAGGACATGATTGTGTTTATATCAAGATTGTCCGAATCTTGTTCCCTAACTTGTTGGGTACATTCCGCAATTTTCTTTTCTTACAAAATTTTAGGAGTTGGACAGTAAGGATTCTCAAGGTTGGGATTAAACCTTTTTTTCTCAAGTCTAAAGTATGGTGAGCCGTGGAAATCATGCTTCAAGCTTGATGGATTTAGGCATAAAAAACGTTTTCTTATTTTTAATATTGTTTTAAAGTTTTGATCATTTTAAAAACTATTTAATAATTAAAATAATACATATCAAACATTTTAAATATAAATTACTATGTTTACTTAATAATTTATACAATTTTCAAAGGAAAAGTTTGAAACTAAAATTAAATAAAAGGCTTTTAAAAAGGGGAAAAATAATAATAATAATAATAAAGTGTGCCGAGACTTGAATTAAGTGTTCAACTATCAAGTTGATCGCTTAATTTTGAGCTCAATGTAAGGCGTGATCATTTTGTCTTCACCTCACATCAAGGTGGCAACGGACTGTTTAGAACATTGATTTTTATTAGTTCAAAAAGATTAAATATGCATTTGTTAGTGGGTTATTGTTAATTTTTTTGAGTCGCCACAGGAAAAAAAATCATTTTAACCATAATATATAATGAAGACGAAGATTGATTTTTTTTTTTTTTCGAAAAACTATGTTGGTTGGTAACATGCTAGAGTAAAGAGGATGGTCAAATAAGACCAGTCAAACGTGTTTGGCTATTGGCAAGTAAATTGGTAAACCTTGCCACAGAAAAAAAAATCTTGTTATATGTACAATTTTTTTTATAAAATCTTTTTCTCACTATTTACAATGGGGTGGAAGACCACAAGCCGATATTTTTTAAATTTACGTGAGGTCCTCTAATTTTGTGAGAGTGAGTACACCATTTTATTAACAAAATTTTGTACAAATATCTTTATTCAAGAAAAAAATGTTATTGCTTGTTGGAGACGAAAGTTTGTACCTTTAACAGTTTGTAAATAATAGGGAGAGATTGAAATTTAATAGGGAGAGATTGATTTGTAAATACTACTAGTTAAAAAAAAAAGTCATCATCT